TCCCTATGTGTTTTATGGGCTACAGTTCTCACGTGCGCAGTCTGTTCAGGTTACGACAGAAAAATTACGCATGTCACATTTTGTACGCTCAGGAAACGGTCCGGAAACGCAAAACGCGTCAAACGCACTGCACTGCAGCTAACATACTGACAGCCCCACTCCATTTTTTTTTTTAACTGGAACGCATCAAAAACGTGGCAAAAACACATAGCACCGCGTCTGCAGATTCGCACCTGACCCGGACCTGAAACTCATGTGAACAGACCCTTAAATGCATACGAGTCTCGTTTGAACGTACCTAAATGTAAGCATTTTTCTGATCATTTACGCAGGAACATTTGTGCCAGAAATCCATGTGTGTATGATCAGTAATATTCTTGCAGCTGTGTCCAAGTAGCCTTATGAAGCTCTTATAGCTACAATTATTCTATATAAACATTTTTTGTATATTTGAATTCCTTTTTTACCTATTCGTGGAAGATACCTTAAGCTTTAATATACATATTCCTTTTAAAGAAAATGTAGAGTAACAGGTCCTGGAATGAAGATTAGAATGTAAATCCAGCATTTTTTCTGATAATTTTATATAGAGTGTGGAAGGATTAGAGCCCCTATATGGGTTTTTACTGATATGTGGGGCTCCAGTAAAGAGATTTCCCCAACATAATGTCTTGGTGACAACAGATCCACCAGGCAGGAAGTGGGAGGAAAAACATACTTTACCTACCACTCTAGAACAATAAAAGTAGGTAAAAGTGTCAACTTTTTTTGTTCTGTCACATTAGGAGCCCATTTAAAGAACGATATCCTGGCTTAAATTTAAATTCTAATTTAAAATATAATTTCCACCAAATAAATGTAATCCTGTACATTACAGCAGAAAGTGCTAAAGTTTTTAAATAGTTTTTAATATATTTCCTTTTGTGTGCATACAATCCTTAAAGCAAAGCAGTGCTTTTGCTCATGCAGGATACAGTATTATCTCTGCTCAAAAATAACACTACCGAATTCTCCATCAGGGACTTTGAACACACAGAATTGAGCGTCAGTGCAGGAGGGTTCACACAACCTGGACATATTAATTTTCAAGCATCTATTACTAGTGGGGTTTTATCACTCAATATTGAAAATAAAACAATTTCCTTACCCCTCAGTAAATGTTGACAAGTCATCTCAACCTCGCGTCAAGCTTCTCCTTAAAGCAAAACAAACGACAAACGCACTCAACAATTTGTTACCAGTTGTACAGTAAGGTGCACACGAAATGGGCTTTGAACAGTAGAAAGGCATCATGGCACACTCACAAACTAGCATGTAAAACAACTTGTCTCACCACTAAGGACAATGACAGAGGTTTGGATACAGGAGGTGGGGTGTCCTCCTGACAAGCCTGCACCCAATTTGATATCTTCTGCCCCATGTGCTCCAAGATGGAGACTCTCATAGTTTAGAGTTAGGACCGCACTATAAGAGGTGCCTTGGCGCGGCAGTGCGGCTTACACATCCTTTGCAGAAGACGTGTATCCAAACCTCTGTCATTGTCCTTAGTGGTGAGACAAGTTGTTTTACATGCTAGTTTGTGAGTGTGCCATGATGCCTTTCTACTGTTCTAAGCTTCTCCTTAATTCACAAAACAAAAAGTACAATTGCAATACGCAAAAAAAGCTTTACAAGCCTACATGGATTAGACACCAGATGAAAATGTTATTTTCTACCTGTGGCTCTGACATTTTTTTGGCTTGTGGCCATTGTAAACCAGGTCACAGATGAAATAGCTGTGCGAATCATACAGAGGCCTCACTCCACTCGCTGTACAGACAGCCCTATTGCTGCTTTACTATAGTACTTCACTGCACTTTTGTTTTGTACCAGTTTTTATATATTCTGCAGGGCGTCTCAGTTGCATTTTGCACCTTTATTTCTACTTGTATTTTTTATGACATCAAACTGCCTAATCTTACCCTTTCACCAACATCTCTGTCCTCTGATTTTGGCATTGCATTCACCTGTCTTTACATGGGATAATGGTCCCTGAAACCCACTGCTATGGACTCTTAAGGTCTACACTGGGTTTTCTCCTAACGCTATCCAGGACTCTATTTATGATCTCAACACTGGCCTGATTGCTGACAATGGAATCCTGTGGTAGAGATAGGTCTTCTTCTACAGCAAATACACAACAAAACTGCGGCAGCAAATTGATTCTTGGCAGCTCTGGGGTTAGAAAAGCAGGTGCTTCAACCATCAGCCACTTTTGCCACAGTCGAAAACATATCCTACACAGAGATGGATAAGGGCCATGCATCTCACACCCTTTTTCTTAACCTATGCCTTAAATGTTTTCACAGATGATAATGTTGCCTCGCATGTTTTATACATAGAATAAAAACTATGTATAGAGATGGCTGATGCAAGAGATGGCTTTAAATTATACTGTTACACTTCGTTATATTACATAAATTTTTTTTCAAAAAAACTCCCAAAACAATATAAATTAAAAAAAGCAGTATCAATGTCCTGTCATGAAAAGATGCTAAATCACGGTCAAAGTTAACACATTAAAAGAGCACAAAAAATTCTATTCAAATACTGACCAACTTTTAGGAGCTGAAAAAAAGTGCATAATCAGCAATGCAAAAAGTAATATATAAAAGAACGCATGCAAAAATAAGTTATTTATCAGAGGCACAGATAACAACACTGAAGTAACAGACTCTAAAGATCCCCTTTTTGAATCCTCAAAATGTATGTTTTGTGAAATTTGCGTGGTTTATTGTAAAACACTAATGTTAAGCTTAGAGTAGTTGAATATTCTAGGTTTTAAGTGGTAGCTTTTGACCGGTAACCATTTTGGCATATTTACTAAAATACAGATATATTAGGTACACGAATGCAGCTGTATCCTTCACACAGATATGCTGGCTACATGCATCTTCCAAACAAATATACTGGGTACATGCGTAGTAAATTGTCCACATAGGTATACATGTGAAAAAGAAGGTACACCCGCTTCAAATTCTATGGTGTTTAGTATGTGTGTTAACACACCTGAATGCTCCAAACGAGCAAACTGCAAACATTTCAGCTTTCATAGAGGCGGTCACACTTGCTGATGATCAATTAAGCAAGGGCATTTGATTAGCAGCACCTGTCTGGTACATTTAGCCTCTTACATCCTATGGAAGCAGTAAGGGTGCACTTTTTTTCCATTTTGGCTTTATGTTTGTAAAATAAATAATGACACTGTGTAATATGTCGTGTGTTGTTCTTAATGTGAGGTTGTATTTACCCAAGTTTAAGAGCTGCTAAGGACCAAATGATGTTTATTATGTCCTTATACGCAAAACCAATTCAATGAGGGTGTACTTTCTTTTGCACATGACTATATGCTGGATAGATGCCAGGAGCAGCACTGATCGGGAGACTGAATAATAGTTCTGTTCAGCACATAGGATTTAATTTCAGATTCCTACTTATACATGGCTTATGCTACACTCCTAAAGCATTGCATTATGTGGGTGTGCTTCATTTATTTGTATTTTTCTAATATGAAGAAATGAACAGTACTAGAAGGCGAGTTTGGCTGAAAAACTCACCTCAGCATTTCCTTCCACTGCACTTGTACATCTTCTAGATATAAGCGTCTTTGTATCTTCCGCAAAATCATGTATCTTATTTAATCTACTATTATATACTGAGAACTGTTCTTTTACTGAATGTGGCAGGATGCCAATCTATGCAATTTTTTAATAAATTGGTTAAAAATGTCCTTCTGAAACATAAGCCAATATAAACCTCTTAGACATGTCCACACACATTTAGAATCCACGGTTGGAGTGTCATCCAAATGGAAAAGCAGGGAGAAACCAAAGGATCGATGTAGTGTGTGCGTTGGTATAGGCAGATGGGTGTGTTAATGGACAGGTTCAATTATTATAAATTTTGTTTTGATTTTCTATTCTTATAATTTTTAATGTGCCCCTGGAAATACTGGCATACTATCCTACTCGTCATATGGAATAGTATATTCAAAGATGCCACAGATATATACCAAACAAAAAAGTTATTATGGGACAAAGCTCATTACATTTTATGATTACAAATGGTGTTCAGGAGCATTTATTTTCACTTGTCCTATGTTGGCATTATGAATGCCACCCTACTCAGCCCTCATATACCTGCTGTGAGCCCTGCCTATATGCTGTTGGCCACACACACACACACCAGTAAACATAGCAGTTCCTCTTGCTGCAGACACTGTGCAGAGTTCTACATCCCTGTAATATTTTAAGGTGCCCATAGTAACAGGAGAACTACTGAACGGTGGGGGGTTGTCTGAAAACAATTTCTTCTGACATTTCAAGTAAACCTATCACTTCATCTAAGTAAACAATATTTGCAATGTTTTGCCCCCCATAGCACATGCACATGCTCATTTTCATTCCAAAACCATTTCTGTTGGAACCCGCGAACCAAGACACACAATATGCATTAATCTCAACATCCACTTGAAGTTAGAAGCTCTGTTGTGTTCCTCATATCCAACAATTCCAAGGCTGCGTTTCTTTGCCGGTCAGCAGGACTTACAAAGAGGTAGACAATTTGACTTGTGTGATGGTGGGCTGTGTTGGAACCTCAGCTGGAAGTTGAGATTTATCTATAATGTGCGCAGATCTGATTCTGGAATGAAAGACATGTGGTAAAGACATCTGCACAAACCTATGATTGTTAATGTTATTTTTTAATCTAGTTAGAAATTAATCTTGTCAAAAAGTTTTTAAAATTTAGCACATATTCACATACCGAAATACTAGCTTTTATACAAATAAATGTTAACAGAACTCACAGGTTATAGAAACACCCTAAAACTCACCTTTAAGGATATTTATACAACCTTCAGTACCCATTAATTGTTTAATGCATTCAAGTATTAAAAATATTGTTTAGTTGCATTTAATTTGTGATTTTTCCAAACCAAAAAAGATCAATGAACAACATAGTTTTACGGCTTTCAAAAATAATATTATTATAAATAAGGCAGTTTTTTCCACATAATATTCTAACATCTATTGCACCAAACACAACAGAACATAACCATCAATACAAGTCAAAAGCCACATTCCCACCGTAGCATGAAATGGCTCCCGTTCAACCATCCTTAGCTATATTGCATGTAAAAAAACAAACAAACAAACAAAAAAAATAAACACAGAGTGCCTTCACACAGGCAGTCATGTCTTGTTTCCAGTTGAAATGCTTCACCGCTTGTTCTGTCTATACTACTAAAACATTGGTTAATCCCCTGTTCAAAGAACAGATGGCAAGTCCTTGTGGTAGCCCGTACTAGACTCATTTGAGACGCTGAGTCACATTAGCCAGAGCAACTGCAAAGGCTTGGACGGCTGAAAAGGGATATTGAAAGTCCAAAATGTAGGCATTGCCGTCGATCCTTCCAAACTGCATTACCTGCCAGAAAAAAAAAAAAAATTTTCAAGTTTGTAACTTCCACAATAAGGGTTAATATGCCTTTAAAGTATATCTTAAGCCAAACACAGAATTTTTGCACTCCCCTTTTCTTGAACTTTATTGAGGGACTAGGATTCAGAGACAAATTGGGTTACACGCCACCTACAGGAAACCAGCCTGGCATAACCCCTCCAACTACCAGCATGCTTCAGTTGTGTAGCCAAGCAGTGCCAAAAAAAATACCATAAAGACAGAGGGGTGGGACCTGTGCTCCTCAATGAACCAAGAAAAAGGATTTTAGCGTGAGCACAAAAATCCTGTTTTCCTTTGCATTCATTAAGGGACACAGGATTCTGAGACACTGAAAAAGTAGTTCAAAAGCAGTCCAACTGAGTGGTAGGCAACACAACAAACAAAACGCTAATAGGCCCAAACAACTGGGGACTGCGTGCAGCTCAAATTGTTGCCTGAAGGGCCTTATGCCCTGGTAAAACTTAGGGAAAGTATTAACAGAATACAAGTAGGCAGCCTATCAAATCTGGGAAACAGTGGCCCACAGAAGCACTCACAGATTGAGTATGCTTTACCAGGAAAGGTTAGAACTTGTCCCTTAGGATCATACTGTAAGCTTGAATGATGATTTGTCTGGGCAACTGAGAAATGGTGGAACAGGAAGTTGGTTCGCATTTAGGGGGATCTTCAGGGATGACAAAGAGAGAAAGTCGGATTTTCTAGCAGAGCCAGTAGCTTTAAGGTACTGCCGGGACCAGAGAGAGGTATAATAGCACAATGTCCTGGTAAAGGTAAAATGCCTAAAAGGAGAACTACGGGGTTAAAGGAGAACTATGGGGTCAGTGTTTTTCCCCATAGTTCTCCTTAGGGTAACGGGAGGACACAAACTAGCGTCCTCCCGTTACCCAAAGCTCAGTATACCGCGAGCTACAGCTCGCGGTATACTGAGACGCCGCAGCCGGAGCGGATCCCGACGTAGATGACGGGATCCGCCCAGCTGCGTGAGTGACAGCTGGCTCTGCCTATCTAGAGGCAGAGCCAGCTGTACCCACCCCCTCCCCTGTCCGTTCCGCCAGTCACCGCTGGCAGATCGGAGCGGGGAGAGGGGAATCCAGCCCCTCCCCCTGTCACGGCAGAGAGCCGTGACAGGATCGAGAGGTGAGCGAACCTGGTATGTGTTCGCTCACCTCCCCATCTACTGAGCCGACCTGTGACAGTCTCATTGTCACAGGTCGGCTAGAACTATGAGGTGAGTGGAAATCACTAATCTCATAGTTCTCCTTTAATAACACCTCATCCTCGTGAAAGACAAAAAAGGGCTCTTTAGAGGACAAAGTCATCAGTTCAGCACATGCCTCACAAGAGGCTCCATTAGACTTACAAGGGCTCCATGGGGTTCTGCTAATCTGATCATTGACAATGGAAGGTTTAAAGGCAGGAAGTGAGGAGGGGGTTGAGAGTGGAGTTATCGTTTGTAGTCCCATAGAAACCATCTCTTGTACCATGGGAAATGGCATGTGGTCTGTGCAAAGGTCCGCGAAGGCTAACAGATGTTCTCACACTTTGGAAAGTGGGGATGTCCCTTCATGACGAAGAGACTTGTCTGCAGGTATGGGGAATTAATGGGTTCAGGGTTTGTGGTGAAACTGGGATTCCTGGTTTGGTTCGGCCTTAGAGGCTGAAGCCTGGGAGTAACAAAAGGAACTCCTCTTTGCCACTGAAGAGGGGTGATTTCTTGAGGTTGAGACCTAGGCTTCTTTTGCTGGGTTAAGTGAGTACTCTTACACCCAGTGACATCCTTCATGAGTGTGTCCAAGGGAGCTCCAAAGAGATGTTCACCCTCAAGGGCAAATGCTTTTTACATGCCTGCTCTGCATACCATTTCAGCAAGAGCATTCCATCCATTTTCACTGACAGGAGACTCATACAGGAAATAAACTGGGAGACATCCACTAACCCATCTACACAATAGTGTAGGGCTGTCAACATGAAATCCAAGCACTCCACAGATAAGAGGATTAGTGCGGAGTAAAGCTGAATCCTTTGCCATGAGTTTTGACAGACTAACTTCATGGTCACGAGAGGTTGCAGTGTAGGACCTGGTCTCTCGAAGCCTAGGAGTAAAAAGAGCGTGGATCATGCATGTGACAGTCCACCTAGTGATGTAGCATTCAATTCCTCAATGTTTTTACCTTTGACGTAGAGACCAATGGTGGAAAAAGGAGTGTAATTAATGGCACGCAATAGTTCTGATAAACAAAACTCCCAGTGCTCGACCCACATGGCTTACTCAATAATAAGTCTTCAGAGACTGGGTCACACCAAAGCATGTGCCACAACTCTGGACCTGGAAAGCGCTCTGTGGCTGAAAAGCCCTACAAGTAGAGCCCAGTGCCTGAAGGTCACATTCCAAACAGGCCTCACAATCACCCACTCCAGCGGATCTGGGTATGCCCTCCAAAGCTATTTCTGAGAATACGCCAATCCAGATAGCTGCATACCAGTTCAAGCAGCATGTATGTGGAATCTAAAGAATAAAAATAATCTTGTAAAAAAGAAAAATGACTAGTAAAAAAACAGTTAAAACTTTTTTCAGTAAGGAACAGACATCCATCCTCCTAGATCAATAGTAAAAAAAAACAACTAAAAATTCAGGTATGCTGAGAGTGAGAAGGGTTATGCCAGGCTGGTCACTGTTGTTTTGTGTTTGCCAGTGTCCAAATCCTCCTGTAAGCAGCAGTATAACAGTATAACAAGACAAACCTTTTATTTAATAAAGTTGGGGAGGGCTAAAACGGCTGTCTTTTTTGCCATCTGTATTGCATTAGGGAGATGTACCTTCATGTACCGTCTTGTAAACTCAACAGTAAGTGAAAGAATACCTTTCAAATGTGAGGGATAGCCACTCCAAGACAGTTGCCACAGGAACAAGTGTTCCTATTACAAGATTTCCTTTGTTCCTGTTTTCTGGATTTACCCTCACTTTCATTCCGTTACGTTGTCAGTCAGGTGCATTAAAGAGGGTGACTTTCCCCAACGGTGACAGGCAGCAATAAAAATCTAATAGGGGTTCTAATCTCTCACCATTCTATTCAAATCGGAGAAACAAGTTTTCCTTTTAGTTATACTTTAATATAAAGTACATAATGAGAAGAAAGGATCTTTAGATAAAGGGCAAATACATAATCTTTTGGCTTTCTAAAATTATATGGCTTCAGCTAAATGGTTAAAGGGTTTTCCAGACTTTTCAGTTGATGAAGTCATGTAATTAAAGGGAAACTAACCCCATATATCACAAAGACTGGCTGCTTTAGTCTGCCATGGAAGACCACACAGCATTTGAGTTTTTATATAAATAAATATACACACACATACACCTTTTTCTTTCTAAGATTCTTGCATAATCTACCCAGATTTGAACACGCCCATGGAGATGGGAGAGAACATGGCTGGATTTATGTCTATGTTCACGGGTGGCTAAACAGCCCAATAATCATAAATTATGCTTCAAATTTGAGCAACAACAGTTATTATACCTAGAGAGAAAAAAAGGGACACCTCTGGCCACACAGGCTGCCTGTAGCATCTCTGTTAGTGGGACCCAATCTTTCACTGTTCTATAACGAAGAGTAAAAAGTGAAGTGTGAAAAGTACTGCAGTTATGCTACTGTCAGCATTAGGCGAGCCTTGTGGCTGATTCCCAGAAACCGATTGACTGATTGAAATAACTGCACATCAAAAATAAGCCCTATGAAAGGATTTCCTTTGCACTCCGAGTCACTGTATATGAACCAACTCACGGATTCTCTAAGATTGTATCTAGCACATGGCTGTAGACCTAGACTATGTTGGTTCTATTTGTGCTCCAGATGATTGTGTTTTACTGAAACACCATTGAGCAGCCCTTCCTAGCTTCTTCAGCAATGCTTTGTGGCAATCATTAAGAAGAATTTCTAGGAACCCCAAAGCCTCAACCTTGCAGGACTTGTTTAGCCTGTTTGATACAGAAATCAACTCTCATTGGAAAACCTTGCTCTCAGTTCCCTGACAGACTTGCAGTCACGTGAACAGAAAATAATACTGAAACACTAAGCATCTCTGAGCTTTTGTACAAAAGGCAAATAATTGCTGGAAGGGAGCAAGGTGTTTTCTAGTCTCATATGAAGAAAGACTCACCTTTAGACAGATATGCCTATTGTTCATCCTTGTTGGTCAGTTGTCAGCTAATCTAAGAAGCATTTACATTTCCAGTAATATTTTATAAACAGTATTTTCTGAAAAGAGCTAAAAAGCATGCATAAAAGGAAATGTGCTGAAAAGGAGAGAAAGAGGCTGATGTACCTGCAGTAAAGGTTAGGTTTAGTAAAACAAATCGCCCATACAGCACTATTATAATAATGAACCTCTAATAATGTGTATTCTGTTCAGCTGACTACTGGTTAGTGTAATAATCCTCCTCTCAGTGATGCCCGATACTCTACATAGTGCTGATCTTCTAGTACTTCAATTAGGAGAGGCTGCGGCTGCTACTGTGAAGGATAACACTGATCCCCCTGCCCTTCCTGTCTGCTCACCCATTCACAAAACTCCTTTTACTGGGAAAATAACACAAGGAGTTTTGTGAAAGGGCGAAAAGACAGGAAGGGGAGGGTGAACGTTGCAATCCTTCACAAGCAGAAGCTGCTACCTCTCCTGCTTGCAGCACTGGAAGATCAGTGCTGTTGAGATTATCCAGCATGGCTGAGGGGAGGATTATTACACTAACCAGAAGCCAGCAGAATGTTGGATGCACATTATTAGGGGTACATTATTATACTATGGCTTTACGCCCCAAAAACTTTTTAGTAAATTTTAGCTTTAAATAAAATGTGTCAGATGTGCCCTTTTTTGAGCAAAATACACTAAAATCTAGGAAGAAATCACAGCATCTACCTCAGTCCACTCCTTAAACACTGTTTCTTAATAAAGCACAAGGGCCTTCTAAAGCATATACTGCAATATTGATATACAAAGTATAATATAAAAACGACAAAGAATTAAAACATAAATAACGGATACTATTAAATAAATGCTATACAAACAAACTTTCACCATACCTGTCTACCTTCCAGCTCTATTTGAAAATTTTTTGCAGATTCCTGAGTCACCCGACCTCCAAAGTCCAACTGGTAAACTTGAGTTGCTTCATTCCATAAAGGCTGCTTGTTGGCCATGACGTAGACAAATCCTTGGCTTCCCAACCTGCCATCATCTTTGTCATTAGCTTTCCGACATTTAAACTCATCCAGGTCACTAGCAGTCCTAAGGTTCCTCTTGGTTTTCCATCCCTTCTTATTGCTCTGACTCTGGTTCATCAGCTCATCCCCACTAATAAAGAGTTCAGGTTCACTTTCTGAACTATCCTGAAACTCATTCGTCTTATTTAGCTTTTTGGATTTCAGCTGATCTTTCTGACTCTTAACCTTCTTTTTTTCCCTTCCAAGCCTTGGACTGGCTATGAGAGAGTTAAAGTCACTCAGTGTTTTTGCTTCCTTTTTCACCTTGCCCTCGGTAATAGCTTGAACATTTCCTTCTTCCGCCCTGCTATCTAAACGTTTTCGATTCTTTTTAGGAAATTTGTCAGTTCTCTGAGCTACAGGGCTCTCTGTTAATGACAGAACTTCCTGGAAGTTATCTGCAGTTTCCACCATGACTTCACTGCCCACGTTATTTTGCATCTCTGGCTGAGATGGAGACATGACAGGCTTTTCTGGCACCAAATGAGGTTTCGGTGGTAGAGTAGACTGTGAACTCTGCGCTGGTGGACATGCGCTGTATGTGTTCCATGGGTGTAGGGCCACTGAAGGAAGCTGCAAGCCATTGCAATTACTACTTCCTGGATACATTGGTGGCAAGGGACAGCAAGGCAAATTGGGTGGATATGCTGGCTGTACTACTATAGTGGGCTCTTGCTGAAAAAACTGTGCTGGCGGTATAGCTTCCTTTGGAGAGCAAGGTTTCTGTACGTGGTGGGGAGGAGGTGGGACATTATAAGCACTATTATATGGCATCCCAACTCCATAATTTATCTGGAATGTTGATAGAGGGCTGGTGGGTGACTTGGGGGAAATAAATGGCACACGAGACATAGCTAAATGCTGACCTTGTCCAAGGATTAGAGGGGGAGGTCTCTGGGGCATTGGCAATGTATTATGAGCTGTCCTTTCCTGGGGAACCCATACATCTTCACTTACCAGTGGGTCCCACTGGTATGGTGGGGGCCGCTTTATTGTAAGTCCCGTCTCAGTCAGGTTTAAATGCCTGGTTGTCTTTTCTACTAGGCAGTGCTGGGAAACCGATTCATCTTCTGTAAAAGCAGAATTAATATAGTCTGTTCTGTCCCGACAGCTTTCAGGGGGGCTTAGTAAATTATATGATGACTGAGATGCTAAAGGGGCAGTACTAGCAGAGTGAACAATAACGGTACTCTGCTGTGGCCCACAAGCTGTTGATAATTCAGGACGAATATTTCCTGCTCCTATGGTATTAGTGCTGAAATTGCCACTATGATTGCTGATGCTACTGCTAATTACTCCAGTGCTAATGCTGCATTGGCTGCAAGTGTACAATGCTGTGGGTGCCCGTGGTTGAAACTGTCCAGGTACAACATTGCTCTTTGCTTTGGGAGGATGTTGCAATGTTGCTCTTTGATTATCTGTCATTTGGGCCATTTTAAGAGTTGCTTCACGACTATTCCTTCGCAGAGTTGCATGAATAAGACTGCTGTCTATTCTTTGTGAAGCACTTCTTCCTTGAGCAAGCTGTGCTGCAATCTCAGGATATGGTGGTGGATCTCCAGGTGGTATGGAATAACGCGGAACAGTCAACCTATTTAATGTGGCACTGGTGCAAGGTTGTTTAATCTTCTTTTCTGTTGCAGAAACCCTTAAGGTTGCAGAGCTGCCTGGACCTGGAAGTGTATAGGTGTTCTGTGTGCAGAGCATTCGTGTCCGTGGTCTGCACACTTCTTCTACATTGCCGCTACTATCAAATGTGGTTATACGCTCATATCCCAGTGGCGTTTGGTAGTGCCCACTTGTGAAGAGGGAAAAGTCTCCCTTCTTGAGGCAGAGGTCCAAAGGAGGTTGAGAGATTGGCGGTGGAGGTGCAGCTGAAGTCGGAGGTGCTGGGATAGTTCCTGGATATGGAGGTGGAGGGTTGAGTTTGTTCATTTGCATTTCTTGAACAGTGGTGAAAACAACAGCATCTCCTTCTGCAAACTGAGGGACTGAACGTAATGGTTTTGGCTTTTGAGAATGTTCATGTTTTTTTTCATTGTTTACAACAGGTGGCATCTGAACTGCACCTTGTGGTGGGTGTGGTAAAGGATGATGAGGGGGCTGTAACATGCGTCCCAGTTCAACTCCACCAAATATGACCTGCCCTGGATTGGAATATCTGTTTGGCGCAGAATACTGAACAGCATTTTCTACTGGATGATCTGGAGGTGTGGGAGCTACCATTTGATTGGCCAAAACATCTAGTTGTACATTTTGATTGGCTAACAAAGACTGAACCAAGCCCATGCTTTGAGTTGGTGACATAGCTTGAGCAGAGCTATGAATTGGTGCAATGGGGATATTCACAGTGCAAGGGGGGTTGTTGTCGGGTGCCCCAGAAGTTCCAGTTGCTACAGAAAATAAAAAACACAGATTTAGGAAATGGAAGGAATAGCTGAATTATTTAGCAATAGTTTTTTTTTCCAAATAAAAAATGAGTTTTAATTTTAGCTAATACAATATTAAAGACTGAAGAAAGAACAAAAGTTGAACACCATATATTATCCCTTTAACGTGCTACTTCACAGCAAAAGTTCACTTTAGTGTTTCCCCGGTGTCAGTGGAGCCCTAGTTGCATAATACCTCCAACCCCACGCTGGAGATGCTTCCTGGTGCTGCACATTCTTTGCAGCAAAAACTTCTGGCCATGTGCCGCTCCTACTGCGTTTTTTCTGAGTATTTATTTCTATACCTAGTCCAGCTCCAAACCATCCAGAAGAGTACAGTTCCAATTATAGCAACGAATGGGCCAAGTGGTGCAGTGGGAGCTGGGTGGGGCCAGCGCTACATAGAGAAGAACTCAGGAGTGGGGATGAAGGCAAGTATTTTACTACTTGGGCTTCAATACGAGGAAGGGAAGGGGGGAGAAAGGTTAAAGGACAGCCTTACAAAAAATGAATTACTGCCATTCTAATATCCAGTTCACATAAAGCATGCAAATTACTAGACTCCAATGCCATATACAATTATAAGCAGGAAATATATTATATGCCTGAAAAAAGGAAAAGTGGTCCCACAAAAAACTTGAAAAGTAAGGGCACATGAAAGTTTATGAACGATTGGCTACTATTCGCTGAAGAAGACTGCGCTTCAGTTTTATAGAGCTCATTGTGACTTTGGTGCCCAATATGTACTGTTATTTTTCTGGAATCCTTAAAGCAGAAATAAAACAAATCTAAAGAGTCCTTTTGATTTCTAGAAACCAATACTCACCAGGTAAGTCATCTTCATCTTCACTGAAAACATTTGTGTTAAATACTGGCAAATTAATATAATCCATTGAAATTTTCCGCACTTCCGGAAGGTAGATGGTCATCTGTCTTGGTTGAAGGTGTAGCAAACTCGTTTTATAAATAACTACATAAAAACACAAAAACAAATGTAATATAATAAAAGTAAACCACTGCTACAATTACTGTTAAAGAAAAAAGATTTGCCCTGTGTTAACAAGGCTTAAAAAAAAAGTTCACACTAAGAAAATGTGGGGTTTAAAGAGGTGTACCACCATTGCATAGGCTAGTATAAACGTATATTTTATTTTACAAATTCATGTTAAAATTATTCTCTAAAAACAATTAAAAATATATGTTGAAATACACCCCTACTTCAGTTCACCTGATGTCTAGCACAGCCATATTACAGACATAGAAGAAAAGAAAACACCGGGCGCCCGACCTGGTGCAATAATCCTTTAATAAATGGAAATTGTAAAGAAACTCTTTATACACACACACGGAGCATGAAAACACAGCTTTTTACTGAAGTTTTGGTCCTGAAATAAAAACCAAACCCTCTGGGCAATTGATGCCAGCTGTGCCAAAAAAGATTAAACCTATACACACACACACACACACACACACACACACACAGAAGTCCTTATAAACTGTATTTCTCTCATTAACATTTGATTGCAAAAGTCAGACTTTTAATCCTTTAACCTCACAATCAACCCCTCCTAACATTACAAAAGAAGTAGAAGGAAGTAGAAATGTTAACCCTTAAAAAAGAACTAGGAACACTTGACCAAAAGCAGTTCAGTTCTTAGAATGAGAGGGTACCTCCATTTTTCTGTACCTACAATCTCATAGTTGTATATCCACCATGAGGGATTATGGCACTGTTGCATCTGTCAACTAGTTTAATAAGATCAAGAGTGCGATTTATGATGTCACCATGTTTACTTACTGCTGTTCTTACTGGAGGCTCTAACATGAGGAAGCAAAAGTATTGCCACTACCAAGACGGCTGCCAACACACAGACACATACTGCGGAGCAGAGCATAAGTCAGCTTTGGGGAACGATCAGCTGTAGGTAGATCAGCTGACCACAGGCAATAATGGTGACAACTTCTTTGCCCTCTGCCTGCTTTTTTTGAGCACAAAAGATTTCAGTTCCTCAATAACCACTGTAAAAAGCCCCTTCCTAAACTGATGGTAAAATATTCTATTTTATCCCTTGCGGTAAGAGTTAATGTGCCAATTCCTACTGCTGGCCTTTAATATTTAAACATTTAGTAAGCTGCCTCCAAGTTAAAAAAAGTACTTTTTTTTAAACTTACAATAAAATCCTTTTCTTGGAGTCTGTTGAGGGGCACAGGAAGTTTGGGTTATACTACCACCTACAGGAGGATTGGACAATGGGAAACAAAAAAACTGTAGCCCAGCCCATGAAAACCCCTCTACCTGCATGCCTCAGTCTTGCAGCAAGCAGTAGCAAAAGCATTATGATAAACACAGATGGGTGGGAGAAGAATTTTACGGCGAGTACAAAAATTCTATTTTCAATTTTGTCACCTTCGGGACATCCTAAAGCAGCCTGAGGGGTGGGCAACACAGAAAACAAACGCCAAAAAGGAAAGAACAAGAGAGAATTGGGAACTGACTGCAGTGCAAAGAACTGAAGGACCGTATCACCAATGTGTTAACCTGGTAGACCTTAGAGAAAATGTGAATAGAAGACCAGGTGCCAGACTTGCCAGGTGTCTTAACTGGTCAGCATACCACATCTTCCTGGGTCAGTCCAAAGCAAAAAGAATCACCGGAATGGCTTCCATCTTTATCCAGCAAAGCAGAAGTTCTTGCGTAAGACAGCATCTCATCTACCTCTATTGCCATGGTAAGTGTATAAAGCAGAGATGCACCGAAATGAAATTTTTAAACCAAAAAAAAAAAGTCTGCCAAAACCGCAACTATTTTTTTTCTAACCCTTTTAAATATTTTTTTACTAAACTTTTTATTTTTTTAAAATAAAATATTTTACTTTTTTAAACTTTACTGCTGGGGCTTCGGAAATATATCAGGGGTCTAAACAGACTGATATTTCCCTTTTAAAATAGAAAAACAGATTAAGGACTCAAGATTCCTCAATCTCTTTTTTTGCATCCCCTGTTATAAATGGACAGCAATCCTCTATACTGATTGTTCCTGTAAATTCATAACTTGTTGAGATAGTGTGAGTTACTATGTACACAATCATGAATAGGAAGTGATGTAGATGTAGTACTAAGACCAGAAACGACTTGCTTCAGGACAACTAGAGAAACTTCCAGGATTCAACTTATCCGGCACGAAGTTTTGTTGGCTAGCTAGAGAGAATTCCAGGATTTAAAAATATCCGGTATGAATCAACTAGCAGCTCTTGGTAGTAGAATCTTCAATGAAAAAAACAGAACTAAAATAATAAAGCAGAAGATAATTAAACATCCATTCTCCTGAGGGCACTAAACAAAACTGGTAGGTGTGTGAGGTTAGGTCCTTAAAGCGACAGGCTTTTAATTTGTTTGCCTAGTGTCCATTTCTCATAGCTGTGTCCCTCAATGAATAATAGAGAAAAGGTGCTGGCAAAGATAGTTAGACTTCCACACAGTAGATGTCTCTATTCTCCAAGGACAATAGCAAAAACTGAGGCATGATACTAGGGGGGGTTATTCGGTTAGGGGGTGTTATTCGGGGCTGGCCTACAGTTGTTTTGTTTGCCAGTGTCCATTCCTCCTGTAGACAGGAATAGAAAATGAAGGTGAAAGACTTCCTGTGGTCCTCAATGGACAAAAATAAAAAAATATTTTTGCTTTACTGAAAATTTTACGTTTTTTTAAATTTTCCCTAATTTTGGTTCATTAAGCAACGGGTTTACTTTAAAGCATTGTCCTGCAGCACCTTTAACTTGCCTTCCCTAACTGCCGGAAATGCGAAGACCTATGCAAGTTTTTAGTTAATTTCAGCTGGAACTTACACAAGGCTAAGGACTCTGCCCTAATGACTGTGCACTGCCTGAGCATCCAAATTGCTAAGCGCCAGCACTGTCACATAGACGGTAAAGGTACAGCTACTCACGTAGCTAGGTGGATCTCGACAGTAATGTCCGTCCCGGCTGCGGCGATCTCAGTATACCGCAAGCTGTAGCTTGCGATATACTGAGCTTTGGGTGACGGTTGGATGCTAGTTTATGTCCTCCCGTGACCCTTAGGAGAACTATGGGGAAAAACACTTACCCCATAGTTCTCCTTTAATACCAAGTGAAAGGAAGGCGAATATATGAGGTAGTGGGGAAAGGCATTAAAGTGAACCAGTTGAAGGATCTACATTGACAAAGCACAGGTTCACTTTTAAACAGCTCATGCAAAAAAAATCAAGAGCACTTCTAAGCAACTCAGAACAATTTCTCACAAATAACAACTTTCCAGCTGCTTTTACATTTCTTACAACAAATCTATTGCAAATAATCTTAAAAGAAATATGTACAAAGCTTTATAAGAACTTACCCGCCCCAAGATTAGCTGGTAAGAAGGCTGCCAACCCTACAATTTTAAACTTTGTTCCCCATATGTTGGATGTGACCTGAGCAAGATAGTTATGCTGTAAAATAAAATAAAGATATTTTAAATATAGCAAGTAAATGAAACATTATCATGGAGGTACATCACTTTCTTGTCTGATGTAGAGATCAAAATATTTAATCTGCAACAAGGGACATTTTGTGATAGATGGAAACAATTTTAGCAAGCATGTCTTCAGTGGCACTGAAGAATGACATGTGCTGTTAAATTTCAAAAATGACATGTCGAGTAAGAATTTCACAGAACTAGAACATAACAAAAGAAAGTTTAGGTGTTGCCTATAACAAATGCATTCTAATCTTAATTATCCACAACTATTTTCCTTACTGAAACTGATCGTGAATCTATTGGCCTCCAATCTGAAGGTAATCAAAGACAGAAGATCTCACCTGTGTGATGTCTTCCAAAGGAAACTCTCTGCGAGTCAGGCTTGGTGACCCAATTGAAGGTTTCCGCAAAGGTAATCGAGGAGACCTGGTAATCTCTTGAGTTGCTCGGGATAGCTTTGGAGATTTTCTTGCTTCTATATTAATTCTGTAGGGAACACAAATATTTGAGTGGGGTGGAATCATAGATACAGATCTGTCCAAAATGATACCGTTGACTTTCTATAAAAAGACACATTTCTCACACCTATCACATACTTTATGTCGTTCACACCTATTAAAATTGGCCAAGGGATTAACCAATCACATTTCTAAAGTCTGAATAAACATATTACAGCATTAAACAGCTACAGCAGGGTTTACCATGACAATCTTTAAATTTGATTTTGGATAGTTCAGAAGGGAAGAAGTGATCAGTTTTTACTGTGGCTACTATTGCACCCATTTATATATCTCCTCAAAATACTTTAAGCCATTATTTGTGCTGTTCAATATCTTTCCCAGTTATCAATCATATCCACAATCTAATGTAATGTTTAACTGTTCCGGTAAGAATCACTGCACTATGCTAGCATGATACAGGAATATGTTGCATCCAAAAATATTTAATTTAGAAAAGCTGGCAGTGGAAATAAATAATAAAAGTTCAAGGCTATTTGATATTTTGGATGTAATAGTGTAAGATCTGTGCCTCAAAAGTATATTGTATGTATGCACTAATATTCATTTTTTTATGAAAATATAGATTTGATAAACAGTAACTGCCACAGTTTAATTCTACAGGGTCTATACATTCAGAAAATAATGTTTTAGGGGTTTAAGGTAATCTTCAGGCCTAAAATGTGAATTGTAATGTGTGCAAATTGAAAATTAAAAAAGGCTCTGGTTGCAAAAGGGTTAAATGAAAATGGTTATGATTTTTGAATTCTAATTGATAAACAGTAGTTAATATTATATATATACACAATATATATATATATATATATATATATATATATATACACACACACACATACACATTATATATATATATACATATATATATACATACATACATACATACACACACACACGCGCGCACATACACACACACGATAGAAGCAAGAGGCACCTGGGGAGTTTGGGAGATTTGCTAGCTCTTGTAACCTTCGGAGATTTCTTAGCTGCCCAGTCATCACTAAGTTCGATATCACTGGAATCTGAGCAATTACAGCTGTCGATAACTGCGGTGATCAATCCATTGCCATAAATTTCATCTAGAAATGCAATAAACAAAAGATACATTACTTAGTAGAATATGACAGTATATGACAGAAAAATAGAACAATGACAAAAGTTTAGGAATTCTTGAAATACTATGCTTGTGTGTGAAAAATTGACATACTACAAATGACTGGGCCCTATAGGAAAATTTGATAGGTCTCCCAGCCTTGCTTGTTAAAAATTTGAGCAACCAGGCATTTTTCTGTCCTAGAACAAATACCTTTATTACCGGTGGCCAGTGGTTCATATTACACACATTTATAGCTCCTATTCTTCTGTGGAATATCAATAGACTTTAACCACTTCAGGATCACAATACGTATATGAACATTGCAGTTCTAAAGTGGTTAAAACCAAGATCACAGCTGCTGCTGTACAGTTCTCTTCTGAAAGCATCTGGCTTTCACATAAAAGTGATTGGGTGGCTATAGAGCCTTTTATGCTGCTGAAAAGGGTGCGCCTACGTGCAAAAACTATGATTGAGCCACATGTTACATAACACCACGAACGTTGGAACGAGAGCAATAATTTTTAGGCCATTACTCACTGTTAACTCTAAACTGATAATTGGTGTGGGTTTTTAAAGCATTGCCTATGGGCAGTTTTGGTACAATAGGATTGTTTTTTTACCGTTTGGTGGGCCTGTGCAATTTAAGGCTTGCTCGGTCTGGAATCTATTAACCCAATACAGACTGTACTTTAATATTTCACAAAAAAAAAATATTATATATTTTGTTTGTGTGCTCCGAAATTTATTTTAGTGTCTTTTTTCATAAAAATATCGATTTGATAAACATTTATACAAATATTGTGCAGCATTAAAAAACTGCAACTAGCATTTTATTTGAATTCTGCAGGGCCTCGGCTTTCAGAAAATATATAATTGTTTGGGGGTTTTAAGCAGCCAAAACCATTTTAACGTGTGTGCAAAAATAAAAAAATTGATCCAGATGCAAAGTGGTTAAGGAATATACACTCTTATCCAGTCTGATTTGGATTCTGACACACAAATATCCACTAGAAGAAACACCAAAAAAAAACGAAAACATATAAAAGTAACTAAGAACATAAGGAAAGCACTTTAAAATGTATAAACAATGTCAAAAAGTGCTCTTAGTTAAATGTTCTAATGCATAAAATTAATGCTCACTGAAAACACTTTGTTTTCCTTTTATGTTGACAGGAAAATTAATACATTTTTAAGTCTAATTATAGTGTATAGCAAATGCAAATGGATAGAAAATTGTAAAAATGTATTCTCTACTGAAAATAAAACACAAATTATTCTAGGAAAGAAAAGAAACAAAATACCTGATTTTCCATCTGTTTTAGGATCCATAATGACAAACTCTGGACGCAGTTTACTAATTCTTCGCCCTTTGAGAACAGGCACCAGTCCACCCAGGTACTCCAAGTAAAGAGTATAGCAAGGGCCTCCAACCTCTGGATCATCCTCTGTTCTCTTCATAGTGCAGTGCAATCTCTCATTTCCCGACGTAGGGTAACTCACAAAGTCTCGCATATTATTGGGGTCAGGTATGGGAGGCTTTATTAGAACATAATTAAACAATTTAGAAAATCCTGGCATGGGTAAAGTATTATACTACCTGCCCTTTAATATAACTAACATTACTTACTTAAAAACATATACCTTCTGCATAGGTCAGCTTTGACACTTTTATACTCAACTACAAGTTCTACAATAATCAGTGGAGACATTCTGCATTTTTGAGCAAATAAGATATACAGCAGTTACCTTATGGAGTCACACTTTATAGTACACTGTACAGTTTCACTAGGTCCAAGACATTCTAATAGCTTAAACTGGACTTATAGCCTCATTAAAAATGTGCTGCAGCATTTAATCATGTGTATTTGCACTTCAGTTTTCTTGTAGTTCCCCTGCCAAGTCCCACAAATATCTTTTGATTCTGTCAGTGATGTCCACCTACTGCAGCTTTCAGAGATGGTGTGGCAACAATGTTGCACTGAGAGCAGAGTTGCCACACCATATCTGGAAGCCATCTGGCTGCTTGCACTACAGTTGAATGAAAAAAAGGTCCAGGAGGCATGGCTAGAACCATTGTCACTGCTGACTGACAAGCCTGTAGCTTGTCTATCAGCACCTAGCCCTGCCCACTGCTTTTTGGATTAGATGCACTGCCTCTGTTGCTGAAGCCCTCCCACTATGAGCTGCAGTCTAGGAGGGGAGCATGTGAACACAAATTTAGGAAGATTTGGCTCAGTCAGGGAAGGTAAAGTTTTCCATTTACTTTAGATGGTAATAATTAATGAGCTAAAAAAAGGGGGTTGTCAATTGCAAGTCATACACACCTGTTAGTACATTCTGAATGATCTTGAGCACAAGCCCAAAGCCCGGTAACAACAAGCCCATTCCAAATCTGACTGTATAGACTGCCTGGCACATTTTTTAATCACCAATAAACACAATTAATAGTTACACGTTAGTGTTTACCTTAATGGTAGGTATAAAGGCGGTGGTGAGGTAAGAGCAGAGCCGAGGAGGCAGACTTAGTTTGCTGATATCTTTGTCATCACGTAAGGAGCTTGCAATTGCTTGCTGACAGAGAAGCTGTAAACTAGCCACCCTGTGCTCTACACGGACAACATACAGAGCTGGACCTGAGGCCAAGAAGAGGCGGGAATCTCTATGGCCCCAGCAAATGGAAGTGATAGGACGCTGCAGAATGAAAAGTTACACATTGGTTAATTTTTACAAACAGTAAAGTTTGCATTACTTTAAAGAGACATTAAAGCTACAATACAGAGGTTGCTTTGATTTGCCATGAATTTGAGTTGTTTCTGGTGGACTGCAAAGTATTGCCAAGCCAACTGTTCAAATAATATTTTAGAATGCTCTAGGTTTCTCCTCTTTCTAGTTAGTAGAGGACAAATCTCAAAGGAAGCCTTTTAGTGGACATTTGTATATGTTTCCCAGACTAACTCAGCAGACTCTACCTAACTTGAAGGAGCCAGGATCTACTTTTTTCCAGGTTATCCTGGTTGAGCAAAAACCGCCCAATCAGTATATCCCCACCAAAAAATAAAAAAAACAAAAATCTTTGAGTACAAAAGAAAAAAAGTATCCTGAAGCTATAGTGTAGTTTTCACTGAAATGCATTCTTGTAAGGATGCCTTTTGCTAACAGGATAAATGTAACATACAACCTATTTGTGTTAAAAATTGGATTTTCTAATTGTTTTTATACCTGTACTGGAGTCTCCAGAGTGTAGATATGTTCTCCACGCACATTATAAAACTTTATAAGAGCACTCTTCAAAGAAGGACCGTTGCCAAGATCTGGTAAAAGGTTTTGTTTCTCCATCCCCGCAACAGCAAGCAAATCTCCTTGTGTGCACCACTGAACCACTACATCTGAAACCAAACAGATTAGCCATAATTTATCAGCAACCAGTGATAGTTGTATTAAAGCGTATCTAAAAATACATTGCAGGTTACCAATTCTTAGATGTGGTGCCTGCATTCGTTTTTTTTCTAGGCTTTACTTCCTTTAATTTTTGACCTGGTGATCCAGCCAGTAGGTCTGTTATTTTTCAGCTTCCTTTAACAGACCAAGCTGTCCAGCAAAAGGTTGAGGCAAGCCATTTAACACTGACAGGGGTGCAAAAATGGTTTGTTTTTATGTATTATTGTGAAACCTTCATCTCAAAAGGAATTAAAAATCTGTTTCTGTAACTTCTGTGCGGAGTGCAGCCACCACATTTAAGAACTGGTAACAGCAATATAGTGCACTTTTGGCTTTGGGTTTAGATACGCTTTAATTATTTATCCAATACAGTTTAAATCCTGTACTCGGGTACGGGTGAACCCAGCAAACATCATAAACTAGTCTTCCTTTTATGTTGGTTAGAAAGGTCTCTCTTTGTTCAAGTAATGACTTCAGTCTCCTATTTCTCCTGACAACATGAATTTGTAGTTTGTACTGCCAGGAAGGGTGACAATGCTGCAAGGTAGTGGTTTAACACTACCCATGCCGATACCCAGGAATACTCATCACTGCTGTGCGTCTACGGTGTGCCAACATGCTCCAGAACACAGCCTCAAAGCTGTCATTTTAGATTGCGTGAGGCTACACTGGCAGAAGCAGACAGGACTGATGCCAGGGCTGGGGGGGAAACAAGGAGAGCAGCTGTGGGCAAATTTTGGAGAAGCATCTGACACACCTGGAAGTAGTGGCGACTGCACTAAATAGAGGGGCTGTTTTTTTTTGTTTTTTTTAACAACGGGACATGAGTAATCGCAAGAAAGGGAGTAACACAAAAGTGCTAATTTGTTATACCGATTAGTGTGCCTCGATTGTGGTACCTGGTAAAGGTGTCTCTAACTGTGAAATCTCACAACAGTCAAAAAACCAAATGTATATATAATTTTATTTCGAAATACATTTTTCAAAGGTTTTTCAAAACTACAAAGCCACAAAAGACGTGCAGTAGTACATCCAAAAACCATAAAGAATGGGGGAAGAACTTCCATACCTTTAAGCCCTGAGCGGATGATGGTTGGTGACAGGTCATCATAATTGTTCATCAAACTAATATCACCAGAAGTAAATCCAACTGTAAGCAGCGGCTTGATGTTCTCCACTGGAATAGGATATGCGGCAGGGCCATCTGCAATGATTTATCAGTGAAAGGTAATCAAGAAACTGACAGAAATGAATATAATGACATCAATTCAATAGTCAATTTATTGTGTTGCCTCATAAATCTTTTAAGGCCAATTTACAACATAATAATTGTTTTTTATGTGCCCTGGTTACACCACAACAACGCAGGGATGATGTCCAGTGCGGAGCATTGTGAAAACGTTTTTTGCAGTGCACTGGATTGTACCACAGGTCATAGTACACATGCACACTCTCAAATAAGTAAACGGACTGAAACCTCACACTCCACACTAGCCCAGAAGCTAAGACTAAGCTTTTGAGCACATGGGCAAGTGTGAATAAGCCTTTATCAATTTCAAAACACAAAAAAAAGGCCTTCACATTAACAACTTTTTTTTACACTTTTCTTTTATAAAGTTTCATACAAAGACTCAGCATAACTCTCTATTACGGAATTCTAAAATACAAAATAGTGCATTAACCCAACATACAAATATGACAAATCTAATATCTTTCTGAAAAGTGACGTGATACAATGGTATTTCCAAAACCAGGCAAAGATTCCCAAGACACAGCTAGCTATGGACCCATAGCACTACTCGACTCTGATCTCAAAATATTTACAAGAATCCTTGCAACTACGCTAGGCGTCACTCTGCCATCCATTATGCACAAGAACCAGGTAGATTTTATAATGTTCCACCACGTAGGGGACAATATAAGACCTAGAACTACTGGATTACAGTAGATGTCCTTAATAAAACCAAAAAACGGAAGCAATACTAGTAAGTTTGGATGCCGATGCCTTTGTTCGCCTAAGCTGGTCATTCTAATACTCTTATACATATAAGCAACCAAGGCCCATTTCTTCAGGCCATCCAAGCGCTTTCTTCACTCCTACTGCCACAATTATAATTCCATGCTCATCTGGATCATAATTTCCTATCCTTGATGGTACAAGACAGGGAGCCTGGCTAATTTCACCCCCTTTGCACATTGTATAGAATCCTCTGCCTCTACCATTAGAATGAACCCTAATACATCAGGATTAAAAACACAAAATGAAACTTTCACTATATCTCTCTATACAAATGGCATCCTCCTGACTCTTACAAACCCTCACATAACATTACCAAACCTCCACAAGATACTGGAAGAGTGTGGCTTCTTTTTTTGATACAAAATTAACAATACAAAAACTGAAGCACTTCCCATCAACATCCACTCTTCGAGGTGGTAAAAATCCAGCTATAGCTGGAAAACTAAAAACATTATGTATTTAGATGTACAAATTGCTTTATACTAAGAAATTTCTTACAGCTGCCAATCAGATGAAAGCCTGAATGTTTGATGTGATTGTTTATGCAGAAAGGAGAGGCAGTAGTTACACAGCACAGATTTAGTACAATCTTACTCGCTTTCTACTGATCCTGTACAGAACAATGGGTGCTTATCCTGCAGGGACATACAAAGAACTCAAATTACAGTAACCTAGGTGAACATTCTGACTTTAATAGACTTGTTCTATTTACTTGAAAGCATTAGTAGCTGACTGAATGTTTTTGCTTGTTGCCTGGGATTTCTTTTTACACTTTCCTCTTGGATGCCATAATATCCAAGTAGAACAGACTCAATTAGTAAGTCCATACACAATTTGCCAGTCTGCTTGTCATTATCACAAAATGTATGTGGGATTGTTACAAACATTTAGGCAATAGTTCATTAGTTTCTATTGTCTTTGAAGGTCTAAGGCCTCATTCATACGGGGCTTATATGTCCAGGTGGGGAATCCTGTGGCAAGAAACCACTACTGGACATAATATCCCTGTGCGAATGATCCCTCAGTGTTACATTGTGGTTCATAGCCTAACATTACAAACATAATTTGAAAGTAATTGATTTTATGATATTTAGAACAACATACGCAGCTAGGACACATTTAGGCTACCTTTGAAGTAGAAGCCCAAGACATGCAGCAACACTAATAATATGCATCGCTTATTATTCTTCCATTTTTACTTCTAAAAGAGAAACAGTGATTCAGAGAATGTTAAATAGTTGTAAACTGCCACCCACTCTTCAAGGTGACTCACAGACATGCCAACAGGTTCCTGATGTATGTAACTGTCAAACATTCATAATGAGCATATTGTAAAGCCTTACTCCCAGATAACGCAAAGACAAATAATGAAAGGTCTTCTCTGTTTTCTATACTACAGCATTTTGGGACTATCGCAAAAGGAATATTGAAATATGCTTAGAAATTGTGAAGTAGCGCTGCAGCTAACGATTATTTTAATTATCTATTAGTTAGCCGATTATTACATTTGATTAATCGGATTTTAAAAATGTAATACCGTCATAATATTGAAAATAAAATACACGAATGTAGCGTTACAGAAAAAGTTAACTTCAGAATAAAATGGTATGCACATTTTTTGAAATCGTGTTCCAGTGCGGGCGATCACACTGCGAACAAGAGGTGCATTTGGAATCCATTGAAATGAATGGCACCGCAAAGCACCTCCTGCAGCAAAATTTGCCAGTCCGAAACTGAAAATGACTTTTCCACCTTTTATATATATTTTTTTGAATAATTGTATGTATTATATTAGACATTTTAATTAGTTTCATGGATCTAAAATAATGTCAATTGTAAAACTCTAAGCCAATATGATAAAATAACCAACCTTTTATTGAAAATAACACACCCAAAATTTTTTTTTCTATTTCTAATTTTAGTTTATTAATTTTTTTAAGCTTTTTTCCCCCTTTATTGCTGGGAGCAATAACCAGCCTGCTATTGGATATTTCAAATTGTAATAGCCAATAGCAGGCTGGCTATTGCACTCACCCACTGCCTGCTGTCAATCAGCAGAGGAGGGACCTGAAGGAGAACGTTCTCCATCAGGTCCTCCTCTGCTGGGGTGGGGGAAAGGGGGTGGGTCGGGAACAAACAGGATAAGTACACCCAGTCTGAAAATGCATTTATCCAATTAAAAGAAACATCTACAGTTTCTGGAGATGCATTATGAATGCACAATTAGGCAAACACATAGAATCAATGTGAAATCATCATACTAGTAAGCAAAGTCTGAGCTGGACAAACCCAGAAGCTATGTAGCCAAAACTCCTTAAAATTTACAGCTGGCACCTAACTTCTGAGGCTCTCTCTAGTTGTTTTCAATGATCCCGACTCCTAAAAAAAAAAATACTCCTGGATTGGATAGACTGGCTACTGAATTCCATTTCATTTTGTCCACCCCTGATCGACATGAATCTATCCCAAAGCCACTGCAGAGATATTTGTAAATTCAGTAGATTTGCCTCTTATTTTTTTCCTAGTGTTAAGAAAAAAATAGGGATGCACCGAAATTTCATCCGCCGAAACATACAGAAAATGGCACTTTTGGCAAAATGCTGAAAGTGCCATTTGTTTGGCCGAAATAGCGGTGCATCTGTGATTTCTCTCCTCCCCGCTGGGACACAGAGCAGTGGGGGAGGGAAAATGTCACAGGAGGCAGAGCATTGCGGAAGGAGGAGAGCACTGTGAGCGGCCGTCGTCTCTCCTCCCCGCACCGCTCAGCCTCCTGTGACAGATCAGGATATCAGAAGTGACAGCTGTCACAAGAGGGTGGCCGGCAGTACGGGGGATGAGTCAGCTTTCAGATCGAGCTCTCTTCCCGCTCGCTCAGCCTCCTGCGACGGCCGATCCAGGATGGAAAGCGGGTACACACACTCAGCGATCACTGAGTGTTTGTAAATAATTGAGGACAGAGTATGTTTACTCTGTCCTCAATTATGAATGAATGGGAAGTGATCTACATCACTTCCTTTTGATTCATGATTGTGGACATGGTAAACATACTCTGTCCACAAGTTATGAATGAACAGTAACACTCAGTACAGAGTCTTATTGTTCATTTATAACAGGGGATGCAGAAAAAGAGATTGAGGACTCCGTGTTCTCAATTACTTTTTCTATTTTAAAAGTGAAATATCAGGGATCTGTTTAGACTACTAAAATTTTTCTGAAGCCCCCAACAATAAAGTAAAAAATTAAAATGTTTAATAATGAAATAAAAATTAAATATAAAAAATTACAAAAGTTTATAAAAAATAAATAAAATATTTTTAAAAATTTGAAAAAGTTAGGGAAAAAAAACAACATTTTCGGTCTGACATTTTTTATTCATTTTGGTTTTGTTTCAGTTTTGAAATTTTCATTTTGGTGCACCTCTAGAAAAAAAAAGAAGGGATGTTTAGATACCAGTGCCAATACTTGGCATTTTTACAAGAACTACCTGGGTCACAGAAGTTGCAACTGTGACTGGGCGCTCCACCAAGGTCCTGAAATCATTAGCCAGTATTGTTTTAGAAAAACATGACAATAAACAAAAATGTATCAGTAACTGTATCTGTGAGTGAAATTACCTAAAACCCCCAAATATAATATATTTTCAGAAAAGTCAAGACCCTGTAGAATAAAATGGTGGCAGTTCTAAATTTTTATGTAGCACGATAATAACGCAAGTCTTTATCAAACCTCAAAAATGTATTTAAAACATTAGTCATCAGTTTAGGGATGGAAAGGACACAACACCCATCATGATTGTTTTGTCTTATTTTATTTTTTCAATCTTGTTGTGACTGTGGGAGAGTCATAAATGCCTAGACAGTGAGGCCAAATTTAGAAGCATTATCTACAGATGGAAGGTGTGATGGGGTTAATCTACTGGAGAATAGAGTTTGAATTAAAATCACTTTTTTTTTAAAACTTTTATTTTAATAAATGGGTCAAGGGTCTATAATCCCGGTTAGCAATATTTTGCTGTTCTATAAATGCAGTAAATTAATCTAACAATCATTAATAATCTCTGCTGGAACTTGTCAACTCCATTCTGTGTTCATTACAAAATAATAGTTTCAATTAATAATATCAGTTACTCCAACACCCCTTATATTTATCATTTTGCAAGACGTTTTGGTTTAAATGACAGAGATATTATCTAGCTTGATCCATCTTCGCATTAAATTTAAATTTACCTGTAGGCTATAGATCTGATGATGCATTCAATCTCAGCCAGTGTCAAAGTGTGTACATTTAATAAAACGCTTCTTTCCTGTCTATTGGTCTTGTCATTTAAGCACTTCAGTTTTATGATACAGAGCTGGGATTTTATTTCATAGGCAAGAACAAAAAAGAACATAGCTACATTATATCAAGCAAAATACACTTATGGTTTATTCTCCATCAAAACATTCTACTAGATACTATATTAGGTAAACAAATGTGCTATCAGTTTGCAGTGTACTGTCTGGGTAGCTGTCAAGGGTAAACAAAATCCATACCAGAACCTATAGAATACCCAAAACATTAATTCATAACTAGAATATCAAATAGCCACTCATGATATAAACAGAGATGTTCATTTTAGTCAAGTGTATAGATTTCAGCGCTAAGAAAATACCTCTGGTGTTGTTATTATTTCATGAGAACAATAGCAACTATCTGGTTAGATATATTTGGAGCAATTAATGCTTCCCACACTTTTGGCCAACCAGATGATGCCTGCAAAAGTTGATGAGTGCCCAGAGACATGCAATAATTTTCAAAACTAATGTAATGGGTTGGGTCTGGACAACCACCTCATCTCTGCTGGAAATACATGACAAATGTATATTGTAATTGACTAGAGAGAGAGATTTATTTGTAATGGTGACCACTGTTACCAGGACTGAAGGTCGGGGAAAATTCTGAATTTTGAGCTGTCGGCAGAACAGGAGGTGAGGGGAAATCTTCCAATTGGGAAATGTTTTCCAAACTACATTAAAACAGTGGAGGAAATGTTCTTTAGTGCAAGACACAAGGAGAGTAACATGATGTCCTGAGGTGGAAGGCAGAGAGAGAAAGGAGGCTATAAACCTTAGCACAACTTTATCAATATGGATGGCCATGAAGGGATCCTTGCACTTTCAGGGTGCTGATTTAGAAACACTCCTAGCAGAAATGATGGCTAAGAGGAAGGCCACCTTGTTAGCAAAATAGAGAACTAGCTTTGATCAATTCAACAACAGATTCTAATAGAGCTGACAGAAGCAGATTGAAGTCTTAGGGGGAACAACATGGGCCACCTCCTGCACAAAGGCCTTCACTGAGGAGTGAGAGGAAAGAGGTCTCTGGAAGGGAATTGCCAAGGCAGATATCTGACCCTTGATGGTACTCAAAGCTAAAACGCTGTTGGAGGCCGAATGCAGTACATTTTAGGATGGAACTTCCTGGCCTCACACTAAGCAAAATACACATTCTAGGTGTGATTGTAGACCTTACAGGAGGTTGACTTCCTAGTCCCAAGAAGCATAGAGATGACAGCATCCAAAAGGCCTCTGCCCCTCAGGACTTGGACTTTAACAGCCGTGACGGCAAATCAGGCAGCCCAGAGGATAGGTGGAATACCAGTTTTACGACAGTAGGTCTGGATGGTCCAGAAGTGTCTATGGAGAGTCTACCATGAGTATAAATACATCCGCAGACCTTCTGAGCCAGTCAGGAGCAATGAGTATTCACTGGAAGGCCCTCCTTCTTGACCCTGCGAAGGAACAGAGGCAACAGCTTCAAGGATGCCTGTTCCTGGCGTCAAACCTGTCCAATTTGTTGTTGAACCTGGGTGACAGGAAATCCACATCTGTCATCCCCACCTGTGACAAAGATGGCAAAACACCTCTGGATGAAGGGACCTGGATCAAGGCGTTGATGACTGAGGTAGTCCGCCTGCCAATTCCCCACATCTGGAATGTGTACAGCAGACAGGACCAGAATGTAAAATTCTGCCCAAACCAGATTCAGGTTCACTACTCTTTGAGCTGTGTGACTTGCCTGTCTCCTTGATGGTTGATGTAAGCCACAAACCATGGCATTGCCCAACTGAATGCTAGTCGGATGACCCTGCAACTTGGTAAAAACCTGATCTCCATTAGCTTTAGAATGTTTATTGAGAGTCGCAATTCCTCCAATAACTAGGTCCCCTAGACCAAGAGGCTCTAGAGTACTCAGCCTCAGCCTGACAAGCTGGTATCCATAGTAAGGACTTAGAAGCTTATAGTTAATACATCCAAGAGCATCCAATACCCAAAAGAACAAACTACCACTGAATATTAAGATGAGCATGGTATATAAAAGTGTAAAAAATAATAATGATAAAATACCTTGTGGAGGTGAATAGTCATCAGAGTCTGTGTCACTTTCACTGCTGTCTTCCACTAGGAAGCTGGGATAATTCCATGACATGTTCACTATACCATCAGATTCATGTAAGAGAACGTGTGCAAGCATTCTGCCATGGCAGTCCATTACTATAACCTGACCATCTGCAGTGCCGAACAACACCTATAAAACAAGAACGGACAGTGTTATTTGAAAGCAGTATTCTGTAACTTAAAATATGAAATACACAGATAAACAAGCAATTCTATTTCAGCACTTGCCAATATAGACTAGCAAGACAAATATTCAACCCAAACTTTTAGTAGGAAGTAGTTATAACTCGTCAGTTTTTGGGTGTGCTATTTGGGAGATTTCTTTTCATTTTCTGTCCCAGAGACACAACAAAAGTGATAGAAAGTTCCCTCCGAGACATTTGTCACCAAAACAGATTTTCTTATTTTCTGCATGTGCAACAATAGGTACCAGGACAAAGAGGGTGAATTTCAGCTCACAGATAATGCATACCTGACAGGGATTCTAAACCTTCCCTACCCTATCCAAAACGAAAAAAAAGGTTGAGGATGCACTTCAAACCAATTCTTGATTATCATCATTCCCAGAGTGCAAATGATGGCTCTGCTGTTGATGTTGCTATTTTTGTTGAATAATTTATTGTAAATGTTTGCCTGTTTAAATATGTTGAAAAAGTAAAACATTTCAATGGGATGAACTTTTTCACCTGACTGTACAACAAAAACAACGGTATATTTAACAAACCAAATAGGACCAAAAAGAAAAAAGATGTTAATTTCTGGGGTTTACATATACTTTAAGGATGATTGATGCTGGGTACAATGCATAACAACAGAGAATGATTCACAGTATTTACTAGCTGTGATATTGACTATTAGCAATTATTTCTAAACAAAAGAAAGTGCACCATAGTTGAGAAAGGCTGCTTTACACTATTAACTGCAAAAAAGAATATGTGAAATGTGTACTGAACTACATTACATTTCAGTGCTTCCCAAAACATGTCCTCAAAATCCATGAGCTTTGCATGCTTTGCAGGTAATTTCATAGGTTGTCCAATTGGTGTCTCAGCTATGTTATTTTGCTCCAGATATCCAGAAATCATGAACTGTTGGTGAAAGAGGTTTGGGAAACACTGTCCTACAGAACAAATTACTATCTAAACATAATTTATTATAGGATATGTCTGCCCAAAAAATTGTAGACTGTTACGTTGTCAATTTTTCAATTAACTGCCCTCACTGTTAGTAAACAATAGCATAGCAAGGCCC